AAACAGGAAAAAAATATCACTATATAGATATAGGGGTTTCATCATTATGTACTATTTTAAATTTTTTTTTTGCTTCATAAATCTATTTTTTTAATAATTTCAGAAATAAATAAAGGGCATTAGAGTCAAAATTGGTACAAAATATAATTTAGATTAAAGGGACAATGTCCAAATCTATTTGGTCTAAAAAAACAGTTTCAGAATTCAGTTAGGACTTTTGCTAAAGATCCGAACAAAAGTGGAACAAAGATACTAAACTGGACCACACTAAGGCATATGTTCTCATCTGGTATTTTTTTCATATAATAAGTCCATTACAAAATCTGTAAATTTCTACTGTAATTCATCTCTGAGAAAATAGTTTTATTAAGCCAAATAGTTTTGGACATTGTCCCCTTAGGTTAATTTGATTCACTTATTGTCTCATTAGGCTAAATATTTTCTAAATGGCAATCTTACCCTTAAATTATATAGTTTTAGTTATTAATTCGTAATTAGGTTAATTATAATTATAAAAAATTGAAATTTGTGACGTCTCTCTCACTCTCTCTCTCTCTCTCTCTCTCTCTCTCTCTCTCTCTCTCTCTCTCTCTCTCTCTCTCTCTCTCTCTCTCTCTCTCTCTCTCTCTCTCTCTCTCTCTCTCTCTCTCTCTCTCTCTCTCTCTCTCTCTCTCTCTCTCTCTCTCCAGACGCAGTACATCCTGGCCTCGTTTTAATGGCCAAGGTACTTGCCCCATCTAACTTGTTTTTATTGGGACAACGTGAATCGATCACTTACTTCAAGTGGATCAAGTGTCACATGTTGGGGACTGAATATTGATTCTTATTGTGTTGTTTATGCAATTTTAGTCTAATTGTTTGTTGTGACTTTTCTGGCAGCGCAGATGAATGTGGAATTCTGTGACAAATTCTCCATTAATCATTATCCAATGCTCTTTTGGGCCCCTCCCAGGAAGTTCGTTGGTGGAAGCTGGGGACCTAAACTAGATAAAAGTGAGATTATCGTGATGGATGATTGGCGCACCTCTGATCTTTTGCTAAGCTGGATTAATAAGCAGATAGGCAGGTAAGCATGCAATGAAAGTTTTTTTTTTCACACTGAAGTCATCATATCTACTCTGCTTGAATTTCTCTATCTGTTGGCTAAATATGGAAATCCCTGTGATATTCTGTTGGGTTTACATCGCACTCAAATATGTTTCGTGTTCAATATTGTGCAGTTCTTATGGCTTGGATGATCAGAAATTTGGAAATGAGCATCTCTTGCCAAATATATATGACCACAAACAGGTCTCTTAGAATTTTTCCTGCCCTCATTTTTGCTATAATGGTATTCTAAGAGACTAAATTGAGCTGGTTGTTGACTATCACAGATTTCTCAGGCTTTATATGACATTGAGGAAGCAACTGAAGAAGCTTTTGATATTATTTTGTCACATAAGGTAGAGCAAGTCTTTTAGATTTTGTTGTATGCAAGTATAATCCATTTCAACCTTGTTGATGAGTAGTAAATGATGACCACAGGCAATCAAGTCATCTGAAACAAGTTCTTCGTTTGTCAGGTTCCTACAGCTTTTAGTGCCACATCATCCTTCAAGAAGGTAAAGTATCATCCTCTATATTAACATTCACGTTTTTTAAGCTCATTCTTTTCTCTCATGCCTAATCTACTATATGAAATCTCCATAGATGTCGTAAGGGAAGTGCTGAAATTCTCCTGAGTTTTGATGAACTGTGCCCCTCAGGCGCATGCTCTTATGGCCATGATTCTGCAGTGAATAATACCCTACGAAGCTTCCATATATGTGGAAAGTATCTTCCGCGTGGATATTACGTGAGTGAGCCTAACAACTTGCTTTTAATGTTTTCCCTGCGCTGCTTAAACGTAGAGATCTCTAATTCTCCCATTTTGTATGCATTTCCAGATGTTTTGCCGTGGCAGCAAGAATGAAACTAGGGGGTTCAGGTAGTGTTCTTCAAACATTCTTTTGTCATGTTAGTATGGTGATGGAATCTTTTGACTCAAGCAGAGTATTTGATCTCTTTCATAATGTTTTAACTTCAGCTGTGGATTATGGATCATGATGCATTCACTTTCGGTGAGGATTGAAGATGGAGAAAATCAGTTTGCGTTCAGGGAAAGATAAGGGCCGTTAAGGCGGTTATGAGTTTGTTATTCAGTTTCCCGCGTTTATTATATTTGTTTATTGAGCAATTAGTTTCTTTGTAGATCATCTATTTAACAAGCTGAATCACATTAATAATGAACAATTAAAAGATGTGATCTTCATGAAATAAACGACCTCAATATATATTCGTTATGCAGTATTACTACAAAAAAAAGACTTATTATTTTGCAGCAACCACTAGTCTGAAGTAGCATACATCAATTAAACTGCTACCAAAATGGTAAAACTCGAGGAAAACATGGTCCCTGTAATATTTAAGCGGCTTACATTACCCTTAGGCTAAAGCCATTCTCTTCCTCGCTTTAAGGGCCTAGAGTTCGAAAATAGCATCCAAATGAGTATCTATGTGTCTATTTCACAATAGAAACAAGTCATGAAGAAGGAGAGATGAGAAAAGGTAATAGGCCTGGTGTTCCCAGTTTGTGCAGCCGGTGACAAGAGCTAGCAGAGAAGTTTGTAAAACGGCACCAGCTTGTATTCCAACCTAAAGGCCAACACCTTTCAGATGAACCCAGAAGGCTAAAGTTGCTGCAAAGGGTATCCCCCAGAGATAGAAAGATCCTAAGTTTATGTAAGCCCCTATGTGTTGCCATCCACATCCCCTTGCAATACCTGCTATTTTAAACCAAGGTTAGTAGTGGCAGAGAATAGTATAGTAACTCTAGGATGACTGGATCAAAAAGGACACAACATGAACAGCCATGAAGACATGGACCTATGTTATAAGGATCCATAAGCAAATTATAATAGATGGATACATACACTTCACTGTGGAGATTAATAAAGTAAACAATGAGGAATATGATCTGAGAGTACACCCTGTGAACCATCTAGTATGATAGAGAGAGACCAATGGATCCATCTTCGCAACATAGTCAACGGTTTCCTTTTTAGAAAACGTTTTTGCCTTTGAATTTTCTTTCTTTTTTTTAAAAAAAAATTGAAATTTAAATATGGAAACCAAATATTTCCTAATATATTCTTGCTATATTTTCGGATCTAATAATATTTATCCGTAGAATTCAGATTCTACTAAAGGCAGAATTGTGTAAAAAGATATGAAATCAGTTTTTACATGTATTAGAACGTTGTGAGAATGTAGATTCCGATTTCTACTAGTTTTAGATTTAAGTAAAAGTCTAGATTTGAATTTCTACTTTTATTAGAACTCCATGATAAGCGTGGAATGTGTATTCCAAACTATTTTAGATTCGTGTTATCTCTGTAGAATACATATTCTGCAGTTCGTAGAAATAGTGAAAAAAGTGGATTTCGTATTCTAATCCGTAGAATACGGATTCTAATTTCGGTAGAATAATATATGAAATTATTATTTACACATTTTTAAAACATGAAAAAAATATTACTATATAGATATAGGGGTTTCATTATTAAGTACTACTTTTAAAAAAAAATTTGCTTCATAAATCTTTTTTTTTTAATAATTTTTGAAATAAATAAAGGGCATTAGAGTCAAAATTGATACAAAATATAATTTAGACTAAAGGGACAATGTCCAAACCTATTTGGTCTAAAAAAAACAGTTTCCCCTTGATCTTTTCAGTTCGATGGCAAAATTTTGGCTTGCTATTTCCCGAATTTATTATGATATCATGCATTACTAATAAAATTAAAAACATTTTATTTTTTCTTTAAAAAACTACGTTTTATTCTTTTCTAAATTAAATATAATAAATATTTTGAACAATCATTTTTATATGAATAGTACAATAATCATTTTGTTCATGCATAGCATGGGCATAATACTAGTAGAAAAATATACCAAAACATGTTAATAATACAATCAAAGTCGTCTACAGTATTAGACACATTTCCATATTTCTTTGCATTTAAGAGCACTGACACATTCACAAAATCAATATATATATATATATATATATATATATATAGATATATATAGGACGAAAATATTCTTACTTGCTAAAGATAATTTAGCTAAGAAATTATATTCAATTAGATATTATTTATACACAGTTTCGTTTGTATAAGTTAATTTGTGCGTGTCTATCATCTCTCGAGGTATGCTATGCCATTAACGAGAAACTAGATTTTCACCAACACAATCGTGCGGGTTTCTTTTTATTTATAGTTTAAAATAAATTATCAATAAAAATAATATGTTTATTTATAAGATCTCACAAAATACTAAAGTGATAGATATTAAAATATCATTTTAAACACAACATGAAATATAAATTATCTAGTACATTTGGAAGGCTAGGAATGATAAGTTATTCCGAGGTATTGATAGGGATCCATTGGAAGTGGCGCGATACGCAGAGAGTGAATGCCAAGCATGGTTCCAAGCAAATGAGTAGGAAGTACCGTCTCCTCTTGGGGATGGAATAGGTGAAGACCAGGCCTCAGTACCGGTCCTAAAGGGAAGCATTACAAGCAACCGCTTCCGGTCCTCAAAAAATACTTAAAAAATTCAGCATTTTTTTATAAGAAAATTATTATTATAATATATAAACGTTCTTATAAAAATGGCCAATTTTTAGAAAATTGCTTCTGGTCTTTCCCATGTCAGGACCGCTACTGCCAGGCCTCAAGCTTGGGAAACATCTGCATGGTGGATGGATCTTGGACTTCAACGGACTCCTTCAGTGGATGTGGATGGGTTTTGAATGATACTTCTGGAAATAGTCAGCTACTGGGGGTGCGTAATTTTGATCTAGTGGAATCGGCGTTGCATTCAGAGTTGGAAGCACTGCGGTGAGCAATGGAGAACATGCTTCAACATTCGCCATGTCAGAGCTTTGGAACTGACTGCAAGGAGATGATCGAAATGCTCAGGAATCCTCAGGCATGGCCTAGCTTCTCAACAAAGTTGGAAAAATTGATGACGCTGAAGATCTGCTTCCCAGACTTCAAGATCTTTTATGTTCCTAGACTCCAGAATGGCGCTTCTGATTCTTTAGCTAAGTTAGCTAGGTCTTTTTATCGTAAGCTTGTGTACGTTGGTTTTTCTGTTCCGGTCTGGCTACCCAGACCACCTCAAGTCGTTTGAGTAATAGAATAGCCGTTTGATGTAAAAAGAAAAAGAAATATAAATTATCATTAGCCAGTATTTATCTATAGTATATCTAAACAAATGTTAAAATGTATTATATGCAAATTGCAGAAACTAAACTCTATACTAAATAAGATTATATATTTGATTATTTCAGATTATAATTTATGTATCAAAATAAAAAATATATTAGTAAGTAACAACAATCAATAAGAATATAAATTAAAATATATAAAAAGATACTGTATATTAATAATTCGAATAAAAAACTTAAACAATAAAATTATAGAGTTATATAATATATAACATTAAATGTAAATCATATATTTAATATTTTTTATAATACTATCAAAGTTTTATATTTATAAACTGAAAGATTTGTGTGGGTCAAACTCTAGTAGTTTTTATATTTAGGTTTTAGGAATATATAGTGCTATCTAGATAAATTTTAATTTTAAACAAAAACATTTGCATTTCAAATAAGATAAGGATATGGGGTGATATTATAATTAAATTATGTAAAATTTCATATGTTTTTAAAAGAATAGTCTAAATAAAAAATTTATACATGAAATTACTCATGACTCTTTTTTGATAGTATAGATTGATAAATATATAATATATTATTTTTTTTTAAATAAAATTTCAATATTTGTTTCTAATATAATCTATTTAAATTGTGTAAATAAATATTTTTGAAAATCTATCAGTTTATATTATTATTCACATTAAAATATAATTAGAAAGATTTAGATAATTTTCAATTTTTATTTACAAATTAAATAATATTTTAATGATATTTTATGATAATTAGAATTTAAATTCAATGATTTACGGAAATGCAATTTAAAAAGATGGCAAAAAGATTTTGTTAGATTTGTTTCATTTATATTTCAAATAAAGAAAAAAGATATTTAAAGATATTATCATTAAATTAGATAGCATTTAATAATTTCTTTATAAATAAAATAATATTATATGATAATTAGAATTTAAATTCAATGATTTACTGAAATACAATTTAAAAAGATGGAAGATTTTTTTGATTTGAATTTCAAATAAAAAATAAAGATATTTAAAGATATTATCATTAAATTAGGTAGCATTTGATACTTTTGATAATTTTTCCAAGTAATAGTCCATTTTTAAAAAAATCAATCAAGGTTGTGACTTCTATTTTAATATATAAGATGAAATCATATGATTATTACTGAAGTTCCCACTTTAAAAAGAACCTGATGACACTAACCTCAAGAACCTATCCAAAACTTAAAGATGGAATTCCTCGTGAATAAAAAACAAAAAAAAATCATTATATATATATATATAAATTTGTTTATACATTAATTATTTATTTAGCTGTATAACTGAAACATTTATTTTCATAAGATCTTTTAAAAATTTATCTTATCGAATCATTTTAGTTTTTTACTCTCCCAAACTAAATTATCATGATTATTAATAGAATAATAATTTATAGAATTTCTAGACAACTGCTGTACAAGATTAACAACTATACTAGATGACCATCAATTTACAAAGTCTAACAATATTTAATTATGGGTACGCCCTTGTCGACTTCTCTTCTTAACTCTTTTGTGAAATATTACGCTCTATTTCTTCTAGTTGAATGTAGCTAGAAGATATATTAAAGAACATAAAAAAATGAATTTTATAGATTTCAATCTATATTCGAACATTTTGTGTCCTCATAGAATCCATGAAATAAAATAAAGAATTTTTTTTGTTAAATACAATGGTATAATTCATATATTGTTTCTATTTTATATACAATATACTATTCTATTTACTAATAGTAATCAATATAATATTTCTATTTACTGATATAGTTGTCATAATAAATAAAAATGTAATCCAAGTTCCACATCAAATATTAGATAAAATAAAAGTATATATATATGGT